ACGCCGTTAGCGCGCGGCACGCCGCGGCGGCGAGGGATGAAGACCTCCCCTCCCCCGCTGAGCGGCTGCCAAAATGGAGGGGACGAAGGGAACGGCGGCGGCGCCGCGTTCCTCACCCACCTGGTGTGGAAGATGTGGTTGCACGGCAAACGCTTGGCGCCCGTCACCATCTCCTCGCGGCAGATGATGCAAACGTTGTCCATGGCCTGAAGCTCTTCCGGCGTGGCGTCGGGGTAGCTGGGCGGGGAGGAGAACCGACGGTGAAAAAAAAATGGCGGAAAACCCCGTTCCGCCATTTTGGGGGGGGGCGTAGAGGGGGACGCGGGAAGGCGGAGGGACTTCTGGGTCATCCCCACGGTCAACCAACCCTTCCTCCTCGCCGCCATCCACCACGGTTTTTGGTTCAATTACGCTCTTTGGCAGGAGGACCTTGAGATATCCACGATCCCATCACCCCACCGGGTCCTTCCGACCTCTTTCCCGCGCGGTAAATGAGGTCATTCCCTCAAATTTGGGGCTTGGGGGGTTTTTGAGGTCCCATCCCACCTCAAAAGCAACCACGGAGATGGCAACGGGACTCACAGCGTGTTCATGTTGCGGATGGCGCGGCGGGACATGATGGCGTCCGTCACCGCCTTCTTGAACTGCCTAGAAGAAGAGGAGGAAGAGGAGGGATCAAAGGGACGGGCGCGCCAGCAGCTGCGGCGGAGGTGGAAGAGGCGCCCAAGTCAACTCACCTCATCGCCAGGTACATGGGGCGGATGGCGAAGAGCGGGAAGGTGTGGACCTTGATCATGATGGTCATGAAGGCCATGTAGAGGAGGACTTTGATGAAGCCTGGGGGGGGGAAAAGAAGCACAGCAGGGGTTTGGGTTTGGGCAACCATGGGGTGGTTGAGGTGGGATGGGACTTCCAAGGTCATCCGGTCCCATTTACTTGGGCAACCATAGGATGTTGAGGTGGGATGGGACCTCCAAGGTCATCAGGTCCCATTTTCCATGGGGTGGCTGAGGTGGGATGGGACCTCCAAGGTCACCTGGTCCCATTTTCCATAGGGTGGTTGAGGTGGGACAGGACCTCCAAGGTCATCTGGTCCCGTTTTCCATGGGGTGGCTGAGGTGGGACAGGACCTCCAAGGTCATCCGGTCCCATTTACTTGGGCAACCATAGGATGTTGAGGTGGGATGGGACCTCCAAGGTCATCCGGTCCCATTTTCCACAGGGTGGTTGAGGTGGGATGGGACCTCCAAGGTCATCTGGTCCTGTCTTCTTGGGCAACCATAGGGTGGTTGAAGTGGGACGGGATCTCCAAGGTCATCCAGTCCCAATTTGTTGGGCCATCACAGGGTGGTTGAGGTGGGACGGGACCTCCAAGGTCATCTGGTCCAACCATCAGATCACCAAGAGCTGCTTGTCCAAGACCATAACCCAACGGCTTCCGAGTATCTCCAAAGATGGAGACGCCACCACCTCTCTGAGCAACCAGTCCCAGCTCTCCCAGCTTCTCCAGTCCCTTCATCGTCTTGGCGCCCCCTCGTTGGACTTTTTCTCCAGTATGTCCCAGTATCTCTTGGACTGGGGGGCCCACAAGTGGAGTTGGGTCTCCAGGTGTGGCCTCACCACTTGTGGTCACGTCCCTCAACCCGTTGCCAACCCTCCAAGGACACCGTTGGCCTTCGTTGTTGGCTTGCGCTCAACCCAGCGTCCACCAGAACCCCCCAGTTGAACCATTGCCCAGCATATACTGGTGCTGGGGGTTGTTGGACTTGGCCCATCCCTTCGTTGAACCTCATGAAATTCATCTCGGATCATTTCTCCAGCTGGAAAAGGTCCCTCGGGACGGTGACGTGACCTTGTGGTGCATCGGCCACCTCCCTCCTGGTTCGGTGTCACCGGCAAAGTGCCCCGCCCC